ATGGGCCAGCCGTATGTGTGTATACAGCAACATCTATTATACAAAAATCAAGATTCAATCAGACATTTTTCTTCTATCTCTGCAAATATTTCCTTTTTTATCCCAAGATATGAACTTAAAACCAGAAATTTATGGTTGTCTTGCTGTTATGGAGAAGCTCTAATTTCAATTCAATCATCAGCCAATAAGCCTAGTGAAATATTTCATTAATTTCAAATGTTTTACGCTTACCTGTTTCTCTTCTGGTATTCTGAAGTTGGCTAACAGATCCTCCATAATTTGGGATGGTAATTTTGTGGATTTATCCAAATTCTCCATATGTATAGAAGTTATGGTGTTAGCAGCATTCTGTAAAACATAATGTGATTCTTAAAATCATTTTTTCTCCTTGGGAATGGAAAGGGGGAAGGAGGGGAGGGGGGTAATTATATGTTTAATTTTAGCATATGTATGTTGCAATTTTACATGTATGTTGCGTGAATGAAGGATTAGTATAATGTACAATTTAATCATGTATTTTAAAGTTTTACTGGAAACTAAAATAAACATAGGAAGGAAATGACATTTCTAACCTTTTTACTTCCTTTTTCATCTTTGTTTTCCACATAAAATTCGAAATGAAGGGTTGTTGCACTTGAAGGAAAGCTCTACAAAATGAAATACAGCAGAAAAATTATTCTGGGAACAGATTTTATCATAAATAGCTGAAATAAGAAATATGCATGTGAAAACGTCCAACAACTTACAAGTATTACTATTGATGGGGAACAAGTCCGAACAACTTAACCATGATACCAGGATTTGGGGTCAATTACTTTAATTTAGTCCCCCCCCCCCCCCTCCCCATACACACACAATCAGGCTGGTTACTTTCATGCTCATCTTTACTTTATTCACTTACAGATATTGGTAACTCCTTACAACACTCTGCTAGACCAAAACCATTGTCTTTTCCACCCCAGCTCTACAATCAAACATTTAGAACAATTATTTGGAGCTCTTAAACAATTCCTCATTGTTGCATTCTTTTCTTTGTAGGCATTATGTTTAACACTTACCTCTGCTAAATGTGTCAGTCTTACAAGGAGCCCTTGTTTCTTGTCATTGCTTAATCTTGTGATAAAATTGGATCTCTTGCTACAAAGAAGAACACTAACTGTAAGTCATAAGACATTGTGTCAAAATTCTCATCATCCACAAATAATCATTCAGATTTATTCTGTCTCTCCAAGAATTCTTAAATTCAAAAGATGTCAACATGTATCTTCACAAGGATCTTGTTTTTTTTCTTTTTTTTTGAAATTGAATTAGTATTCAGAGAAATTTCCATCAAATATGATAGGTGATAAAATAACATTTAGGTAGATTTTTTTTTAAATAATAAATCTGAATTCATATTATAAGAAGACAGAAGATTTTACAGGTTATGTTACTTGTATTTCTACTTACCTGAATACATAGAGAAGATTAAGAACCCCCAGGACAACTGTCATGTCACAGGACGACAGGAGGGTGGTCAAGTGCTCCATGGAGTTGTACAGGTGCCTGGAGAAGCTGTGCTCAATCAGCAGGGAGGTAAAGTCCAGAATGTACAAAAGTAACTCCTTCAGCTGGTGATTATAGAATATACAAGTTAAATAGTAAGTTACCAGTATGCTGGACATTTTGAAAAGATCCATACAGATATCCAATCTACAGCTCTCATTCGATTTTAGTACATATACTTAACTTTACAGTTCAGTTAACATGATTATCTGAAACCATGCAAGTGTCTGTTTTCACATCTGTATTCAATACATTTACAGACATAAACAGACAGCATTATCTATCTACTTCGTAAAGTACTGTTACCCTTTCATTTGATGGGAGGTCACATGCCAGAGTCCATTTGTCCGCCTCTTTCTTACATGCTTTCTCCAAGATTTCATCAAACTTGTCCAATATATCTGACCAGTGGTACAGTTCACACTGTAAACAAATTTTACAATGTAGTTATCATAAAACAGAGACATGATGCTTGTTGATGTTGCCCATTCATTACTTTCTAAATATCTTTTATACTGCTTTGACTTGTTGATCTTTCTGTTGAATTCTTGTATTTAATTTTTTTTTCAAATATTATTTCTGAATTTTTTATTTCCAAAAAATAGAATATGATTTTTATTAATGTCAGACCAACAGTGTCCAACTAAAAGAATTTAGTATCACTCAAAAACTAGTTGGTTTTGATAATGCCAAGGGGTGCTCTATGTTTTCCAACTCAGTGCATTTGGGTTTGAGATCTACTATGGTTGGGAAAACTTCTTCTAAGGTTTTTACCTTTCCATAAGTCCAAGATGTAACTGTGGTAATGGCCTGTAGTTCCTTGTATAAATCATCCTCTGTAGCGTTTCTTAGCTTCTCAATCAGGACTCGACAATCAGAAGGCTGAAGAATTTTAAAATGTTTACATTACATATGACATGAAATAGCAACTCTTTAATTTTTTTTTAAAAATAAAACCTGACCTCAGACATTATATATGCATATGATATCTGTATATTTTTTCAATCTGTAATTTCTCACATTCACTTTCTTTTTTCAATCGTTCAAACTTCCCACATTGTTGGGTCAACTTACCACCTCTGTTGTTGATTTCTTTAATTTATTTCTATCAATCTTCATATTTATTTTCTGTATTCTCTATTACTCCTCATCATGGTTAGCTGAACAAAATAAAAGCCATACATAAATCTAAAGAATGCACAGCAATATACTTTATCAATTTTCTTTTCACATCAAAATGCTCTCCAGTAGCAATGACTCATTTCATATTTTATAGTGGTAATATCATTGCAATATGACACATTTCACATTCCTTATTCATTATTTTGTAACTGGCGAGGAGAAAAAAAATGACAGACCAAATCAAGATTCGAACCTGGGCCCCCTGAATTCTGCTCTACTGATGACTGTGGGTATGTGCAAATTAAGATTTCCTTGCCAAAACGTTTTCAAATAAAACAACAATTACCATTTAATTATCTTAAAACAACAATTAACAAAAAGGTCAATCTGTTTATCTCATCCCAGTAAAGTGCACGTGGTCGCTTGTATGGATTTATTTTATTTCAAGAATATGACAAATTCCAAAAGTCCATGATTCGTGAAATAAAAATACAAACACACATTACTGTAAATTTTAGCTTTCTTTCACGAATGCGTCCATGCAACTACTGGTTCCATTTTTGGCACCTTTTTTGCAACGGATACAAATTCATTGAAAATGGCGGATACTTAATTCTCTTATGACTGCGTTTCTATTTAGCTCTTTCTCTTATAATAACAATTTTCCCAGCATATTGATACCATTAGCACGCTCTTTGGACACTCAAATAAAAAGATTTATTCACAAAAGCATTAAAGTGCGTATTGAAACAAGTGATGACCAACCTCCAGACGGCTGCCATGTTAAAATTCGCAAATGCCCGGATGGATGGTTGCCTCGTTTTTTTTTAAGGTCGCTCATAACTTTTAAAAATATTTTAATTGCAAGTTAAATTGAAACCATTTGATTTTAGTTACGATTTTTTAAAGTGTGCAAGATTTAATATAGGCAATATTTTGATCCTGCCCAAAAAAAAAAACATGGGAAACATTTTGACTTAACGCACGAAAATGTAATTCGGATATTAACGGACTACACAACAACTTCACAACAACACGCATGGCCCGGGATCATGAAACAGACTTAAACTTAACAATACTGTATAGCACCTTCTTTTATAGAAAGTTGAATATCTTTTTTTTTTTTTTTTTTTTTTTTTGACTGTTTGACTTAAATTAATAATTTTGAACATCCTAGTGTCCAAATCTTAAACTTTAGATGTTTCACGATTCAGGGGGTTGAAGAGCTAAATTCATAAAATCTTAATTATTTGAAGATATCTTTAATTATTTGAAGATATCTTTAATTATTTGAAGATATCTTTAATTATTCGAAGATATCTTTATCCATTTGAAGATACCTTTAACTATATTTAAAGATATATCATCAATTTATTTGGTCCGGCTGGACTACGGCAACATTTCAATTAACATTGATTAAGGAACTCGTGAAATAATTAATGTTATCCTTAATTATTGCGCGCTTGAATCCATTTGTTGATATCATAAATTATAGTTCTGAATGTGTCTTTAATTATTTTACAACGATTTTGTTAGAGGCATTAATGTTCGAATCGCCTTTTTAAAATAATGTTTAAGACAACAAGAATTCAAGTACGATATTGAAATGAAGACCTCGAGCACTTATTAAGTTAAGACAACAAGAATTCAAGTACGATATTGAAATGAAGACCTCGAGCACTTATTAAGTTAATTGTTACTCTCTCTCTGAAAGTATTAATTATTGCCTCCATTTAGTGCATATTATGATTAAATTTGTTATTATTTTCTGTATCTATATATCAACTGAAACAAAAGTATTTGTATTTTGACCTTTGATAGTGATTCCAAGTGAAAAAAAGTTTTATTCCGGAAACTACCGAGATCGCAACGAAGTTTACCGAAAATTACAAACAATGGATATCTTAAATTAATGATATATCATTTATCAACTTGAAGAAAGTGATAATTCAATTATTATACTCGGTGCACTCAGTAATTCAATTAAAGATCAATAATTCAATTAATTGAATACTTAGAAATATGTGAATTTCTCTGCATTATTTTTGTCACTTTGTATATGCCTGTATTAATAGTGTTAATTTGTTTTATGTTATTATTGTTCATGACTGTATGCCGACATGGTAATTGTCAGTAAAGTGAATTGAATTGTATTTGTGTCTATAAATGACATACACTTTTTCTTTTGATTAATCTGTCCATTGATTTTCACTGGGACTTTTCCCTGGATTAAATCATGTTGAAACGTCGATTTTTCAATAATACCACTTTTTCTTCCGAATGTGTTATCGTACTATAAAGAAACAAGCCGATTCCATTTTCAACCAATCAGATTGCGTGTTACTTTCGTGCAAGCGTCGGTCCGGCATGTGCCCGAACAAGAGAGAACAAATACTTTTAGAATAATAATTAAGGTAGCTTTTATAACTATGAACAGCTGAATAGACTGTAGTAAGTATAGATATTATTTTATTTGTGCACACTTAATACTTTAAACTTATTTTGCTGCACTAGGAGAATATGATTTGCAGAAAACAGGGCACCTTATATCATCAATAATTCATATATGAATATGGTACATTTTGAAAGAAATAAATGATTTGAATGCAGTGGAAAATTGAGTTATATGAAATAAAAGATTAAAAGCTTGTTTATTAAATATTGTAGTTATTACTAGATTAGAATATTCTAATCACAGGTCTGTGTGTTTTGGATCAGGAACTATATTATCTAGAGAAAAAAATAAGTTGCACAGGTTAGGGCAGCCTCTACACATTATATTTCAATTTTAATACAAAAAATTAGTCCTTTAGAAAATTAATTAAAAGATCATTGGAATTTTGACCATGCCAAGTCTGAATAGTTTGTATTTTAATATAACTGTAAACAATAATACTGAATGCTGTGACTGAACCTGTTAGTGTTGCTAAAATAAAAGAAAACAGTAGAATATGCAGTATACCCCTTTAGATCAGTATTTAAATATTGATAGGCCTCGGTTCTCATCTGTTTAAAATTAATCTATTTAAATATTTTTGAACAAAATATATACATATTGTAATTAGAATGGCTGAGATTTTAAAGGTGCTTGGACACAGATTTGAAGTTAATATGTTCTCAAATTTTCTGTATAATTTCATGACTTGTATGTTGCTATATCATTTCATACTAAAATATAATAAAAATCTTATTTCATCTCGAAGGTTTTAAAACTTCGAATTTCTGGACGTGTTGGATTGACACATCCTTGCGCTTTCACATATTTTAATTTTATTCTTAATACTGAAGAAAAGTGGCAATTTTGTTGTGTATTAATGAAAAATATTAAAACGATAACCCAGAAAATTCAGAGTAGAAATGTTCGAAAGCAAAACCCACTCACAGTATTGTAATTCCGTGCTCAGTGGTGTGTGCAGAGTTTAACAATTGAACACACCCGGTGAATTGTAAACATTAACAATAAAAGAGCTCGTGCCCTGTTTACAAAAACAGTTTAATATGTTTCACGGGTGTGTTCAATTTGTTAAACTATGTACACATCACAGAGCACGGACTGACAATACTGGTGAGCTGGTTTTGATTTCGAACATTTCTACTCTGAATTTCCTGGATTATAGATGCAATATTTTTCATTAATACATAACAAAATCGCTTCTTTTCTTGAATAATATTAGGGATAAAATTAAAATTTGTTTAAGTGCAAAGATGTGTTAATCAAACGCGTCCCGGAATTCGTAGTTCCAATAATTTCCAAATAAAATAAGTTTTTAATTATATTTTCGTATGAAATGCTATAGCAATATACAAGTCGTGATATTATACAGAAAATTTAAGATAATATTAAGTTCAAATCTGTGTCTAAGCACCTTTAATGTGAAATATGAAGTCAAGTTCAAAAGTCCATTGAAATAATACAAATTTGGAGCAGAGCAGACAGTGACCTCTAAAAATGTCAAAGGTGGGATCAGGTGCCATGAAGGAGTAATCATCCCCTGTCAACTGGTCACACCCATCTTGTGCTCCTTGTTATGATCAGGCAGACAGAAAAATCCTTAGACAATTTAGTGTGAAAATAATGGTTGAACAATTTGTACTATGAAAAACATCACTCAACATTCAGTTTAATGATAGATTGTATTTGCTGACGAGTCATTGTATCAACCATAGAATTTGTGAAATGTTAACTTTAAACAAGACTGTTACATCAACTTATTTTTCAATAGCTTGCCTCATTTTAGAAATTGTTCATATGTAGAACATGCTCTTGTGTATCAGATCAACTTGGAGACTTAAACTTCATATGCAGGTGATAATGGTATTAAAAAAAGGAAGTTGAGGATAGAAAAGTTGAAGTCATTACATTTAGCAAGTTATAACCCTGCAGGTTTAATGAAAGCATTTTTTTCTTATTCACAGTGTAGCAAACTAAACAGGGGCAGATAACTCTCACTGGTTTATTCTTGCACAGAACAGCTTGTTTGAATTTTGTAGTTATTTTTAGTGCAACTTTGCTCTCCCAAAATCTAAATTGAGTTGCCCTTTAAGGCTTTAGACACAGATTATTCTAACTAAATACTTTTTACATTCACCACTGGACCAATTTCAACTGAATTAGGCACAAAATGTCCTTGGTGAAGGAAATCAAAGCTTATAGTCCTGATCCTTTCTTGATTAGTAATTTCCCATACAATATCTGTTCTCATAAGTATAATAATCTAATCAGGCAATTTCATGACACAATGTTGAGTTTTGAATTTTTTGCTCTGTAGAGAACAAATCAAGATGCCAGGGATTAAAAGAAGAAGTTCCCAAGCGCCGGTCACAGATAAACCTCCAAAACTAAAGAAGCAAAGCACAAGCACTACCGTACAAAATGCTAAAGGGAAAATGGAGAAGAAAAAGAAGAATACAACTGAAGTAGATTCATTAGACTTGCCACCAACACTAGAGAAAATATCCTGTACAGACTCACCTAGGAAGAAGGCCTCGCCGGGAAAAAAGTCACCAGAAAAGAAGTATAAAATGCCCAGATTTCCAACATTAAAACCTACTGAACCAGCATCAGATGATGTTGATTTCTCGTTTTCTGTCCCTTCTTTTTATTCTAAATCTTCACCTTCAACCAATTTTACTAAACTGAAAAAGGATCCCACCATAAAATTAAGTGAAAAAGAAACCAGTAAATCAGAGAGTGAGAAGGAAATACCTCAGGCTCTGGCTTCAGAGGTGACAGAAATTCTCCCTCCAACACTTGAAATTGAGGTAGACCCAAGCTGCACAAGAGCTTCAGAGATAGAAAAGAAAATGCAGAAACTCCCATCTGGTTCAATTGTTGGAAAAATAACAAATTTGGAATTTGATGATTTAATTTTGCCATCTGATGCTTCAAATGTAATTTATGAATTTTCTGATGAAAGCTCTTCTCAAACATATGGGGCTTCCAAAATCACGACTGGGAGTCTACAGCCAAGAGCTTCTGCGTTTGAAGTTGCTGAATATTTAACTTCATTAGACACACCAGATAATGATGAAAAGACTGACCCGCCATTAACAAGAATTGAAGAGGGTCCAGAGGAACATGCTGAGAATGAAAAAAGTGATGCAATTCAAGAAACTGATGAAAGTGTAGATAAAGACAATGAAGAAGAAAAGTCAGAAAATCAAACAGAAAGCAAACCAGAGTCTAGCACAAATGGAGGCTCATCACCAATGAAAACTCCTAGAAAAGTCCCAGGAGGACTGAGGGAAATAGTCTTCTCTTTTGATACGACAGGATCTATGTATAGCTACATGGAGGAGGCAGGGGAGAGAATTCGGGATCTAGTCAATCGATTACAGACAGACATGCCAGGCATACGTCTCGCTTTTATGGCACATGGTGACTATTATGACCTAAGTCATGACAGGTATCTTATCAAATGGATAGACTTTGGTGCCAGTATTGAAGAAGTGGTGAAATTCTTTGAGAACTTATCCATCACGCATGGTGGGGATGATGATGAGTGTTATGAACTAGTTTTAAGGAAGACTCATGAGGCATTGTCATGGACACCAGGAAGTCAAAGAAGTCTGGTGGTCATAGGAGATTCTGATCCCCATGAACCGGGCTATAAATATGAGCAGTTTGTCAATGACATTGACTGGAGGAAGGAGGCAGCCCTTCTGAAGGAAATGGTACATGTCATGAATTAGATCAGGATAATTTTTAACTTTATGAAGTTTTGATTTTGGTTATCAGATATTTTTGCATTATCTTGACAAAATTTGGTTTTAATCCGTTCTGAATTCACAGATTCCTACACATCTTAATGAATGGATTTATTTATTATGATACTTTATTTACTAAGATAGTAAATCCTCGAGTGGGACATTAAACAACATACAATCAATCAATCTTTAAGAATAATAGTTTATGATATAGAGATAATATAGATTATCGTTATTCTTGGTTTTGTTCTACAGACAGTGGAAGTTATTTTGCAGGAAAAAAATTAATTCACTGAGTAGAGAATCTTTGTTCATTAAATTTTATAATTTGTACAAAGTTATTTATAAGGAGCAGAAAATTTAAAAGTGACTTAATATCCCTTTTGTATTGTAGGGGGTGAGGATATATGGTCTACAGGTAGGATACAGGTCTGACTTCTACAAACAGATCTCAAAAATAACAGGAGGTGCTCATCTGCGTATAGACAATGCCAGTTTTACATACGACACTCTTATGTCCATATGTTTACGAGAAGGCAGCTTAAAGTTACTAAAGGTATCACACTACTTATTTCAGTGTACGATACAACTTACACTGGATCTTTAGAATAAAATAAACTATGCACATGATATATAATGCCTCAGTAATGGAGAGGAGTTAAGTAGAGCTTGTTTTATGGTCTGAAACATTCCAAAGGCTGATTTATATAGATGTATACTAAAAATGTAGAAATTTTCTGAAAGTAATTTTCCTACATTTGTTAACCAACCCTTCTTCAATGAGATTATTATTGTGAGGAAAAACAGATTTATCACATTTAGTGTCTTGTATTGTATTTTGATTTCAGGAACAATTTAAGTAATTTGTTAATTCTGTGATTTTTCTCTGATAAAAAAATATTAAATGATAACAGAAAAATGCTGGATAAGAGTAATATATCTTTATATATTTAGTTGGAGTATGTTTGAAAAACATTTTAGTAAAATGATAAGGAAAGGTGACAGGAATCAGTTGACTTTTGACTAAGGAATCATTAGGAGTATTTGAATTGAAAGATGCATGGGTGTTGTTCTGAAGTGGTAAACCATGTAAATAATACAATCAGAAAGTTACATGTTTTAAGTTTGTAATGTAAAAGTGAATAATTTAATTTCATTGATTTTTGCAGAGTTACGAAAATGAAGTACGGAAAGCTAAGAAGAATTCAGAGGGGGGAGGTGTGTTAGATTTAGAACTTGAAAGGTTATTTAGTTCACTTAAAAGTGTAGAGGACAACAAATCAACTAAAACAATGCTCAAGGAACAAAAACTAGCCCAAAAAGAGGAAAAGAAGGCAAAAAGAGCTCTAGAGTTGGAGGCTAAACTAGAAAAGGGTGATGATGGGCCACCTGCAAAAAAAACAAAGACTGACAAGAAATCCCCCCTCAAAATTTCTAACAAGTTAAAGAATTCTCCATCTGCTAAAATTTTGTCCAAAGCAAAGAAAACTCTAGCTAAGACTTCACCTTTAAACAAAGGGACAAAGATGAAAAAGGATGAAAAGGTGCCAGGAAAGGAAGATGGTATGAAAAGAGAACTTTTGAAATCCAAGTCAAAAGAGAAAGTGAAAGTGAAAAAGCCAGCCGAAAAGGATACTAACCCCTCTAAGACCTCACCAAAGACTGCTAAGAAAACTGTGAAAGCAGAAAGTGATAAAAGTGTAAAGAAAATGCAGAAGGATGGAGAGAAGAAAAAGTCTGGTAGACCTTCAAAAAATCCAACCAAAACACAGAAAAATAGTGAGAAGAAAAAAGCTGGCAGACCAGCTGGCAAGCCAACACCCACTAAAGAGACAAAACCAGAAACCAAAGAAAAAGCTAACAGAGTAAAAGAAGAGAAAGTGATAAAAATCAAAGCTAAAGGACAACAAGACAAAAAAAAGAAGCCAGTGCAATCCCCCAAAACACTGAAATCTTCACCAGCAGCTAAAAAATCATCAGGGAAAATCAACAAAACCAAGGTACCACCAAAAGTGAACAGCAAAAAGGCAGATCTCATTAAAAAAGCAGTAAAAGACACTCAAAAGACCGAGAAAAAAGTCGCCAAGAAACAGGAAAAAGAGACAAAGGTGTCAAAGAAAACTGAGAAATCCAAAACTCCAGAGAAAACCAAAGTGAAAAGTGAGAGGAAAGAAAGTCCGAAGAAGGTGACACCGAAGACACAGAAAGCATCACCAAAGGTTTGTATTCCCTCAAAATACATTTTTCATAATAATTTTAGGAATTTAAGACAAAATTACAGATGATACGTACAGAGTCCAGGGTAAGTCACTGGAAATAACTATCATTGTAAAGGTAAAGTTTAAATGTTACAAATGAGTAATGAAAGCTTTTAGTGAACCATGTTACAATATTTTATTTGCTGCCACAATTTATGGCACATTTGTTTGTACCCTGCCATGAATATGGCCAAGATACATGTATATGTTTGTCATGTCTGTCTTCAGTCTGCCTGTCCAGTACTGTCCTGTAACCTTGACCTCAATATTCCTCATTTACCCTAATCTTAAACAAAGAGCAAGGTACAATTCTTTTCATGTTGCATTACTTTTGCAACTCTGGGCAGGGCATTCATGTAGTATGGACATATTTCTAGTTTAATTTTCAAATATACCACTAAGGTAGGGCTTGAGATTGAGATACATCTGTACTGTAGTTGAAATTTATTTACAGTATGAACAGTAGTTTCCAGAAATTCATTTGAAAAACAAAGTATTACGGTAAACTTGACCAGAGTATAATTTCTTCTATTCTGTTTTGTAGGTTTCCAAACCTGTAAAGAAGTTACCACGGGAGTCTGCACCTGTAACAAAATTTGTAATGGGACCACTTAGTGTGTTGTCTTGGGACAACTGGCTGCCGTTGATCAGCCACACCAAACCTGATGTGAAGAGTGAAGACTGGAAAAAGAAGTCCAGCATATGTCCAGGGTTCTGTAATGATAAAGTATACAGTAATGAAACTTCACAGGCTGTTTATGAAATCGCTGTGTCCCCGCCAGAAAGCACCAAGCGGTACCCAGTTTTTTACGCCATTGATGCATTATGGAGCTGTTTCTCTTCCCCCCATGTGAAAAAGGAAGTAGAACGAGTAATAAAGGCCAAGGGATCTATCAGTGTACGTAAGGGGTCATTGGGTAAACCCAATGATGTCGTGTTCCAGAAAGCTGTGGATTTTATGAAGATGAACTTTGATTATGCATGGGATGGACGAAGTGAGGATGTGAAGAAAGATGGATTCATTATAGCTAAAGCAAAATAGTATTGGCCAGGCTTTAAGTGAAGTACATTTTGTCTTTAGTCTGTTATTGACAATCTGTTGAATGATGGTATGACTGCTGTAGTTGAGAATTATTTTAAACAAAAACAAGTGCACCAAGCTCTGTCTGGATTTGAAGTTTTGATGAATTGTAAAATCAAGTGTGTGCAACTAAGTGTATTTATTTGGTAATTTTGTCATGATAGATCAGTGGGAGTAGTAATCCTCAGGCTTATGCAGCTTATACAGGTAGAAATACAGGTAAGATGAGACCTAGAATGAGAACCAATATAAGACATTGGAAGTCTAGAGAGAACATTGATGCTTAATGTGGCAATAAAAACATGCATAGGAAACACCTTAAAACCCTAATTTAATTTATTTTTGTTAATGCATATCAAGTATGTACATGTTTATGTATATACTTGTATTTGTTGGGCTTATTTCATCATTTCCTTTAGTTATCTCAAAAGTTAATTTACATTGATCAATACCATTTTATAAGCATCAGTTTTATTCAGTATTTAACACAGGATTTTATTTTGATTTGTTGATTTTTTTCATTGTTATGAGTTAGCACATGATATAAAGAATGTGTTCTGTTGAATACCCATGTTGACTTGAGAGACATTATATCATTGTTTTTGTTTCTGATTGACAGCAAAATTGATACATTTTTCTAAGCGTTCTTTGTAAATGTTGAATTTGAAAGAGATTTTCTCATTTAAAATGAATTATGCACTATTTTTACTCTGACAAGTAGATGAATTTTTGTTTTGGATTTCTTCCTGAAGTACAGATGTACAGTTTTATTTTGAGTTTGGGCAGTATTTAGTTTTATAGAGGGTCATTCAAACAATGTGTAGACAATTTCACACTTCATATATTATTTTTACAAGATTTAAGATAAATACATTTTCAAATGTAAAAACAATTAGTGTACATAATTTGGCGTATTCAAAATTCAGTGCAATCACTGGGTATGGAGTTGTTGGCGAAATCATGAATTAGCGCTATACATGTCCATGCCGAATATTGTATTTATAAATTATTTTTTTAAATTAGCGGTATTCATGAATTAGCGCAGCGTTGTCTGCGCCAAAGCCACTAAAATATGAAGCCCGCTTTTTTTAAAATACACATACAGTATTTTTGTGAAGTTTCGTTCCATATGATTAAATGAATCTTGTGCTCCTTAATTTTAAAATCAACATATTTTGTCACCACTGAGCACTCTCTCAACAACATTTTAATCATGGAAACATCAAAAACAATGTCATGAAAGTTCCTCAAAATTACTCTCCCTTGTCATTTCTCATATGGTCTGTAGCACAGTATATACTCATTAACACTGGCACTTAGTTTGCTAACAATTGTTTGAGTAGCATAAGTTAGTTTGTTGGTGTTTCAAATTTTTTACCTGTAAATCGGCTTTCACACATTCCGATACAGTGAAATGCACATCACTTTCCAGATTCAAAGTTTCTATCACTCAAAAATTGTCCTTGCCATTTATATATACAAATGAACAGTACATTTGTGATATATTTTCTAGTTCCTCTAGCATTTTCAGAGTTTGTGGAAAATAAAATTATATCACCTTTCCCTGCTTCATGATGTCCTTCACTCTTGTCTTATTTTACTTTTTTTCAAGAGGACTCCCTGTCTTCTGAAATTGATTTCTTTTGAACAAAGCAATGTCTGGCATTAGAATTTGGCATCTGAAATTATATACCAATACCAAATTTTAAGGTTTAAACTTTATTTAGTCTAAGTGCCATTTATTAGAGATATGACTATTGGATATTGTACAGTGTATTGTTTGTATTGGTTACTCCATTTTGACTGTGCTCATGACATTAAATAAAAAAGCTATAACAAAAGTCTACATATTTTTTGAATGACCCTCGTACATAGTCTTTTTACACAGAAGACTGTTCTTGTAAGTTAACATGATTTTAGCCTGTAGTATTTAGTTCCTTTTATCACATGTAAACTCTCAACCAGTTACATCTTAGATATCTTCAAGAGAAAAATTTTAAAATATTGTGATTTCTGACATGTTGAATTTTACATCTGTGTTGTTAAATTGCTGTTGGATACTTGCAGAACATTATTAGGGGGCAATAAGTGAATTATACGAGATGTGCTGTATGAATTCATTATTGAATGGTGTTTTATTGTATTTATAAAAATGTCCTATTGTGTATCAGTCAACTTTATATTCATCTAATCATGATTCTCATGTATTTATGTCACTCATAAAACCAAGGAAATTATGAAACTGTGGAGTGTTTTAAATCTTGTTTGTTCATAAATTTTGTTTCAGATCAAATATAGTTTTTTTTTATGTGTGTTGCTTGGTGTTCAAATGAATCATTTAGTTTATGAATCGCCTTAAATTGATGGCATCATTTGATATTCAAAGGACAAGTTGAACACTGTGTTTTGTTTTTGTGTACTATATATTTCATGGATTTATGAATGATTGCTATGTGAAGACAAATGTTTTTTTATTATAACTAAATTTTATGTAACATCCTGTATGTAGTTTCCCAGAGAGTATCCATGATATATGGAATAAATGAATAATTTTATTTTACACTATTGTGTTTTTATTTTTATGTGGTTTTTTTTTTTTTTTTTTTGGGGGGGGGGGGGGTAGTGTACAAAAAGTTGCCCAAAAAACGAGGTGGTAGTGTAAAAAATCTTCAGCAATAAGGACAAACATGGATAAAGCAAAGTTTTAGGTCACTTGAGTCACTCGTACAGCAAAACATACATGTGCATTGAATATAAGATAGATGTGATAAATAGAATTTACCATTCTAATTCACAGCTTATATTAGCCTTACTGCTTTGTAAGGCTCCTATAACTTCTAACACATTTCTTCATTCTCCCATATATCTGCAATTACCATGATTATCCATTCTTTTTTTCTACTGATTTTGAAAGAAATGGGAAAATGAAAAATCACAAAACAGTACCTTATATTATAAATAGTCTTAGAAGTTTGCCATTAATCCCCATGGTCAATAAATATATTGCCTAATTCCACAGTAGTTACCAACTTAAGCCATCATTGCCGAATATGGACGTTTCTCACAGGGGATATGAAGCTATATCTGATTCAATGTAAAGAAAACCTAGATCAAGAGTAATTTGCATTTGTATATTTTTTAGGTCACCTGAGTCACTCAGGTGACCTATTGCTATCTCTTTTCGTCCCTCGTCACACATCGTGTGTTAACATTTGTACATTTTCAGCTTCTTCTCTGATAGGGCTGAACCAATTTCAACCAATTTTGGCATATAGCATCTATGGCTGAAGGGGAACAAAAATTGTGCAATTCATGACCCCTGCCCCCTGGGGCCTGAGGGGATGGGCTAAAACCATCAAAATTAATGCAATCTTTAAAAATCTTTTTCTTTACTCCTGGACATCAAGCAGTCAAACTGTTAGCATGGTTGTAATTAGCATTGAGCCCTCTACCTAAATTGTGAAATTCATGGCCCCAGGGTCAGGGGCTCTGGTGCTAGGGTGGGGCTCTGTTGGGTATATAGTGAAAATGTATTAAATTCTTTTAAAATTTTCTCGATCCTCTGCTCCTGGGTATTAAGCTGATAAACGAAATGCATAGTTATGATGGGCAAAAGTTCCTTTTCCAAAATTGTGAATTTCGTGGCCCCAGGGTCAGGGGTTCTGGTGTTAGGGCGGGGCTCTATTGATTATTTAGTGAAAATGCATTAATTCTTTGAAAATTATTATGCCTGGGGTAAACAAAGAAACCCTTCCTGAGCATTTGAACGATTTATTTGATAGAACAAAAACTGATCTTTCAGAGGAACAGGCGACAAAAGTGAAAAGTATTCTTATCAAGTTCAGTCAATTTTTTTTTTCAAAGAGCAAAGACGACTTTGGAAGAACGTCATTGATAATTAAAGCACCGTATTAATACAGAAGGAGAAAAACCAACCAAGCAACCTCCCAAAAGGTTACCTCATCATTCTGCGGAATTCGTTGATCAAGAGGTGAAAAACATGATTGCTAAAGACATCAATTCATATGAACTATTTTCTACTGGTTTGTCTCTCTAACATCTACCCTGGCGTCTGGAACATCATTTGACTTTATAGCCTGGGGCGTCCACTTCGGCCTATCTAATGTTTCTCTCAGTTTTTCGAATTCTCTCTTTGCATCAATTGCACTGAGATCAGCGTACAGCTCAGCTTCTATATTCTGCATACTCATTCAATTATCACAAGAACTATTCTAATTTTAAGTATTCCCTGTTTAACACTCTATGAATTAGAACTACAAGGAAATATCGGTTGCTTTCGTGTGAGTCTGTGTGAAACCATATCCATTCCTCCCAGAAATGGTCAAGTGTTGGACCTACCAAAACTACCACAGATACATTGTTGATTGAACCCTATGCTAAGTTTCAGGATAGTGGAAGAGCCTTGGTAGCTATATCTCTTGTCAATTCATCTGAGAATGTGACCGTTAGACGGATGAACATATCTAGTCAGTCCCAGACAATCTTCAAGAATACAGTGATAGGCTTGACATCCCCGATAAGAGAAATAACTATGCCTGAAAAGGAAGGTATTGTTAATAATATAGATGCCAGAAGGGAATAACTCAGAGAAGAAAAAGAAAAATTACGATCTACTCCGCAGACTACCAAGTCTTCAGTGGTACCAGATTCCGGAGTATATTTTATGTATAAAAACCCAGACAACAGTTTAGATGAATTAGATTATAGAACACCAAGTAACCCCAGGCTATGCAGTTGGACACATGAACTATCCAGAGCCTGGTTGTACACTGTACAAAGATAAACAGACCGCAGATCGACCTTTACTGAAGGATACAGAAAATAAGCTGCCGCATTTTGGTACAACACGTACAATAAGACAACCAGTTCTTACCGAGACACGTTTGACAACAAGCTCTACCTAGAACACTAGGTGTGCTTCATCAGCTTCCTCCACAGTTACTTGGTCAAACAACCAGAATCCAGTGCAGGTCTAAAACTCAAAGCTGCAAAACGGAAGGAAGTTTTGTTTCTTGGGTATAAGGTGTCTGGTGAAAGAGTTCAAACAGATCCCCAGAAAGTAGCTGTTGTGGAAAAGTGGCCGGTGCCAATTGATGTAAGTGAGGTACGATCTTTTATAGGCCTGTGCAGCTATTACCGAAGATTTATAGATGGATTTTCTAGCATTGCAAAACCTTTATTTCGACTTCCATAAAAAGGAAGGGGGTACAAGTGGAGGTCTGATTGTCAAAATGTCTTCGATAAACTGAAAAAGTGTTTGACAAATGCTTCGATATCGGTACATCCAAACTTCTCATTGCCCTTTATATACTTGATACGGATGCAAGTCAAGTGGGACTTGGCGCAGCGGTCTCAGGATATAGACAGCAAGACTAGAGTTACATGTATATTGTATGCATTAAGTAGAACACTATCCAAGAGTGAACGGAAATACTGTGTCACCAGAAAGGAATTGTTAGCTCTTGTATTTGCATGCAACATTTCCGACATTATCTCTATGATCAAAAAGTCATATAGTGCGCATTGATCATAGTGCCCTAAAATGGTTAATGAGTTTTAAAGTTCCTCAGGGACAAGTAGCCAGATGGATTGAAGTACTTAGTACATATATGACCTATAGAAATCACTCACAGACCCGGTGCCAAACACAGTAATGCTGACAGTTCGAGTAGATACCATGTCCGACAGTCGTCAGTGTGGATGTAAAGAAGAGATCGACAAGGCAGCAAATGTACAGATAGTAACCTCAGACTCTGTTCCTAATGAAAATTTTCCTGTACAAAGTCTTCAAGAGAATGATTCCGATTTGAAGAAAGTCAGGGGATGGGTGGAACAGAAAGAACGCCCAGAATATGTCCAGATTAAAAATGAAAGCTACTTTATTAAGTCACTTTGGTCACAATATAAATTCCTTGAAGTAAAGGATGATTTACTCTGTAGAAAGTGGGAAGGTGATCGTAAGATTATTTACCAGGTATTGATACCTTTATCTGAAAGAAAAGAGATATATTCAGAGAATGTCACGATGCTAAAACTTCAGGACACTTATAGGTGTTGCAAAGACTCTAGCTAGAGTAAGAGAAAGGTTTTACTGGCCAGTCCGAATTTATGTAACAGGATGTCCTCAATGCCGTAAAAGAAAAGTCCGCTCTTGTGGAAAGGCACATATGCAGATTGACCAAGCTGATTATCCTATGGAACGTGTAGCCATGCAGTGACATAATGGGGCCCCTTCCAGAGACTGAAACTGGCAACAAGTATATTATCGTAATATCTGATTATTTTACCAAGTGGACAGAGGCATATCCTCTGAAAAATATGGAATCACAAACCCGGTGGCAGAAGTTCTATTAGAACAATTTTTCTGTAATATGGTGTACCAGACCAAGGCAGGCAGTATGAGAGTCGGCTCTCCAAAGATATGTGTGATCTACTTGGTATCAGAAAGACTCGAACAACAGCTTTCCACCCAAAGTCAGACGGCACGGTGGAAAGGTTTAACAAAACTTTAGCCACTATGTTGAGCGCATATATCTCTGACTAACAGCAAGACTGGGATAAGAAATTACCATATGATCTTATGGCCCACCGATCCTCTCTGCATGAAAGCACGGGTTATACTCCGAATATGTTAATGATGGGAAGAGAGACAGCTACCCCAATTGATATCATGTATGGACTTCCAAACAGATTAAAGCCTACCAATGTACATGATTGGGTATGGGAACTACGAAAAACCTTGGAAGAAGCTCATGCTAACACACGCAAATCACAGAGCAATCTGTATGTTACGCCAAAAGAGATACCACGATCAGAATGTGGTGAAAAAGAATTTTGAAGAAGGTGATAAAGTGTTAGTATATTTCCCACAGAGAGGGATAGGGAAATCGGCTAAACTTATGAGTTTCTGGTATGGTCCTTACCTCATTGTAAAACAACATTCTGATGTAACTTTCAAAATAAAAAAGGAAAACGAAATAAAAACACTTATTGTACATGTAGTTAGGTTAAGACCTTATGGGACTCATGTCCTTAGAGAGGAAATTGAGAATATAGTTTCAAAGGTTCAAGATCAGGGTACTGGTGTTGAAATTGACCGTGACGAATCTCAGATGGAATTGTTAGGAAACTCAGAATTGAATGAAATAGAATTAGCTTAAATTACTCAGATCGTAGACAAAGAAGAAGGCCTGCTTGGCATCCTGAATATGAATTTGATTACAGAGTTTAATGTGATTGTATTTATTTCAGATCACATGACAGAATGCCGTTGACCAAAGTTAGACCAAGAAAACCCGGATTTTTGTACTCCATTTGCCTTACTCGTTTACCAACTAAGGACGAGTGGAGTAAACATCTCCTGGATTGTGGTATGGCAGATATCAACGAGAGAAAATTTGAATGTGATCGCTGAGACCAAGCTTTCAGCAAGAAGATTGTGCTAGTGCGGCATATGAAAAGATTACACCCTAGTCAAGAAACGACTGACAAGAATGAAATATCCATTGAACCAACAGGTGAGAAGTCTCCTTCAAGACGGATTGATGATGAAGAAGATTGGCAGGAGGGTCCTGGTGAACTTCTGTTTGAAGAAGTGGACTTAAAAGCTGGGAGGACACACCGAAAGAAGACATCTCCAGTTTTACCAGGGATTAAGCTAAGAAATACTTATATCTCAGAAACCGTGACCAAAGACTTGCCTACAACTGAAGGGGTAGTGAAACCGAGCGATATAGTGTTTTCGATATCCAAAAGGCGCCTTTGGATGCATGATCAGCACTGTTTTTGCTGTAAGAAGAAAGCTAAGAAAGTTGATGCTGAAACGCAAACTGATGCAGCAGTCAAGGCAGGAGAGAGTCATCAGAAAATAATCAGGGTCACTAGAAAATTTCAGAGGGATGGTGAGATATTAGACCGTTTGGAGGAGGACATCTGGAATGATTAACTGTTTGATTTTTGCACTTTTTCACAATGACATACAGATGTTTGTCTGCTCTTAGGGTTTTAAACGGACTTGCATGTTTGTTATGCAGTTGGTAACAGATATAGTTACTTTAAATATATCTTGCAAAAAATAAATAAATAAATAAATAAATAAATAAATAAATACAATAATGTAAATATATATATATATATATATATATATATATATATATATCTATATATATATATATATATATATATATATATATATATATATATATATATATATATATATATATATATATATATATATATATATATATATATATATTATGATTCTAATTGCTTGACGTGCGGGACGCACGATATTAGAGGCGTGCGTTGTGAAACGTAATAGAACACACTCATGAAAATGGAATAACCTGACATCCCTTGGAAATGAACTGTCCCAAGGGTATATAAGTTAGTGAATTGCTGTGAAGTGTGCGGAATGCGGTCAGGAGATGAAAGGTATACGTAAAAGTTGAAGAAGTAAGGCTATAGGGTAGGAATTTGAATTAGCTCTTAACCATGTTTTTTTTCACATTGAAAATAGATATAACGCAACAACTACACAAAAATGAGGTATAGTTTCCATTTCTTAAACTGTACTATCAGTTTATCAGTAGCTCATCGTTTCCAAAGTGGAAATTTTTTTCGCGGTTTTCCGTAACAAAGATTAATAAATGAAACTATAACTATAAGAATCGAAAATAAGCTTCACATAAAAGTGAAAATTTCTAAAATTGAAATTTAGTGTTACAGACGAAGAACAACCGTTTATGTAGAACCTAACAAAGCAGCAAGCTAGTCTATATATAATTATATTATTTGGCGGACAGTTAAAAAAAATGCAGAAACCTAAAAATTAGTTTTAAAATATATTTCTCACTACCTGTATTAATCATGACAAGGAATATTAAAAATGATTACTACGAACACATAATTTTGGTCTACAAAATCTTTAGAAGGGCATATTACTTCTCCGCATTTTTTAAAACTAATTTTTAGGTTTCTGCAATTTTTTAACTGTCCGCCAGATATTTTTTTAACTGTCCGGAGTTTGTTTTTATATTTCCGAATGTTTTAGGTTCGTCACACCAGGGACAAGCGAAGATGTGTAATCAAAGCTGCAAGAAGCCTTGCAATAATGCAGAAACAAAGCCTTTTATTTACACCATATTATCCAAAAAATCATTTCTTTTCAAAGAAGGAACCATGGTTTATATATAGTTCTACCCCCCCCCCCCCTTTTGTTTATAAATCCGCCACTGGGTTGTATTTGAAAATCATGTTAAACATTGATTATGTATACGTTGAAGCACTAGTTGATATTTTGTCCAACCGTGGTATAACAGATATAGATAGTGCGTGCAGTGACAACCAAGATCCCACCCTCAAATGTTTAGTTTTAAGTATTCCGGAAATATATTTCATCACCTTATAAGTTTTGATGTTATGATATTGCACCGGAAGTAGATACCAGAAGCTTCAAAATTTGACATATTTTCATCGAAATTGAAAGAAACAGGGATCAAATTTTCTACGAGTAGTGTTTCTCCCGAAAAATTGAAATTGAAGATAATTTGAAATGTCGAAACTGTGACAATGTAACGCAGACGTAGTTAACTCCCTTAAACATTACCCGCCATATTTCGAATTTATTGTGCATGATTAGACCTGAATCGATCGGTTTTTAGTACGGGATTAAAATGGCAACTGTTTTGGTGAGTAAGATTGATAGTATTAGTTTTACCAAATTATCATTTAATGTTGCTGTCGACTAGGAAAATAATGTAATGCAATGTGAACATTCACAGGCATCTGCATTTTTATCAGTGAATAGCAAATAAAACCTAGAACGAAAAATCCTACCCTCTCTGATTCTCTCTGTATAATAACATAAAGATGATGTATGATTTTTGGTTTGAGGGCTTTATTTGCTCCTAATAAAAATTCAGGTACCTATGGAACATTCCTCAGAATATTGAATACATAGATTGGACATTAAACATGTTGAATTACAGTCATAAGTGTTCATCTTACATTTACTTTAAAAATGTGAACTAAAGAGAAATAATTTTGCATGAAATAAATCACAAAAAAATTTAGTTTACATTGTACTTGAATTTTTTTCAGGAGGACCCGTCTCTAGAGCGGCATTTCAAAGGACACAGGGACACAGTATGCAGTTTGGATTTCAACCCAAACATGAAGCAGCTTGGTAAAATGTCAATCATTCATTTTTCAAAGATGAAATGATATAATCAGTCAGGGGTGAAACTTAAATCCATAATTCTCAAAATGAAGATTACGAATCATAAAATAAATTTTTTATTATGACTAAAGCTCATCATTTTTAAGAAAATGATGAAAAAAGGTCATAAAATTTAGAGTGTTTCTAGAAAATTGCGTTACCTCTCTTTGAAAAATGTTAGATCCACCAACCGAAAAAGGACAGATAACATCGTAAACAAACTTTATTTCACAAATACATATGACTACAATACTGATTATGTTGACAGTGCAGAATTCTCAAGCAAAGATAAGAGTGGAAGAGTTATTTGTCAATTTATTTGTACAAAATAGTAATTTGCTTGTTTTTACTTTTACACGGTGCACTACTTTTTTTTTTATGGTTTTAACTCTTTGTCAAGACTATTCTTCCAGATGGTGTTCTACAGTATATGTTTTTATTGAGCTAAAAGCCATTTTAAAGCGGCGAATTAGTTCTATCAAAATTCAACATTTTACCACTAAAATACCAACTTTTACCTTCCACGTTGATGTTCTAATGCACATGGTTAGCAGTAATTAGTGACCTGGATGAAATGAAACTAGTGTAAACACTCTTCTTTCAGTGGTAAATTAAAAATTTTCTTAATATGTATAGCCAGTCTGGGTAGCAGAACTAAGTTAAAAATGAAAATATGATGAACAATGATAGTAAGTTATATTGACAAAAATGATGAAAATACTTAGTTAGCAAATAAGACGATTATCCATCATTTTTCAGAATGATGGATTTCAGTCTCGACCCTGACTGATAATTATTAATAGTGAGTGCAGTGAGTGGTGCAGAGTGCTACTCTAATTGTGAGCTTTTAAGACTACTGAATATTAATTAATCTAATAGATTTTTTTTCTGCAGTAAACCTTGGTACTCATAATGCACTACAAATATAGACTGTGTTTTTCCACAACTGCCATACTGCTCTCTTGTTCAAACCCTCGAATCAAAAGAATAAAAAAAAGATACTGGAAATTGCAGACAGAAAGATAAATGTTTTTTATTAAAAATATGTCGTTTTTTAAGCAAAGTAATGAAATGCAAGTATGTACGATCATTTGATGTTACAGTCTAGACCTTCCAAATGAATTTTATGGTTTGAAGTGCTAGGCAGATCTAACTTAAAAGTGAATAGGTATATCCAGTAATAAATTATACCCAACTGCACTCGCCCCAGTCCCACCATCAACTATCTTAGACAAAGTTGAGCCATATAATTGGTTTGTAGGATCCTTGTGATATATTGTTAGTTAGCATGTTTTGATTTAATTGTGTTGATTATGGTATGTGAGACTGTCAGAGCTTTAAATTAATGAGCATTAAATTCATCACTGTTATTTTGCCAGTATTAAATTCATCACTGTTATTTTGCCAGTTAGCCACTCTGAACACATATTTGTTAACATTGATGCAAGGTATGTTTTTTCCTGTACATTTATAAACAGACCTATTATTTTCATTTGTTGTCTAGCTTCTGTGTCTATGGACTCCTGTCTTATGGTGTGGAACTTCAAACCTCAGATGAGAGCCTACAGATTTGTGGGACACAAGGTAGATATTTTTTATGAAATGAAAATCAAAATTGTAACTGCTTGTGTCAAGCAATTCATGTCATGAAATGCCAGTTTAATCTTTCAATTAAAGAAAGGACTCTTTCTTAAATTCTTTAAGTAGACCAACACTTTGATTGTGAAGAAAACTAGTTTCTAACTTTTATTCCACCTTTTTTTTTTAAAGGATGCTGTAATGGATGTCAAGTTCTCACCCTCTGGACATTTAGTGGCATCAGCTTCTAGGGACAAAACCGTTCGCTTGTGGATTCCCACTGTGTATGTTTGTTTGCAAGCTTAATATCTACTTCATAAAAATTGTAGTTACTATGGCTGTCTAAGATTAGAATAATCCCCCCCCCCCCAAAAAAAAAATTCCCAGATTATTTAAAAAATGGCAGATCAGATATTTATCCTATAGGGTGCATATCAACTGTGCATCATATTTTGATATGTACATGTGTATTGTTATAGTGGTAAAGTTAAATTAAGTATGATTTAAGCATTATTGATATAATTTTGAAATGGAAAACATATAATTTTTCAGAAAAGGCGAGTCTACTGTATTTAAGGCACATACCGCCACTGTCAGAAGTGTGGACTTTACGTATGATGGACAGACTTTAGTAACAGCATCTGATGACAAAACTATTAAGGTAAAGATAATTACAAATTGACAATTCCCTAAACTAATCTTAATAAACTAGCTTTATATTTTAATATCTGAGTTCTACTATAATCTTTTGATGTTTTTTTTTGTTGTTTTCAGTTGTGGACGTGTCATAGACAAAAATTCCTGTATTCTTTAAACCAACACAGTAACTGGGTCCGAAGTGCTAAGTAAGTAATTACATAGATTTTTAGCTCACCTGACCCAGAGGGGCAAGTGAACTTATGTCATCACTTGGCGTCTGCTGTCTTTGTTGTCTGTCATCTTCTTCTCCGAAATTAAGCAGCAGATATTTCTGAAACTTTATAGTAATAAAGTGGAGCATGTCCTCTACAACTGGTCCACTTTACAGTTTGATCCAATCAAAACTAAAGTCACTGTTACTATTAATAGAAAATAGGGGGTTGATATGCAGTTTTTTGCCTATTACTCGGACATTTAAGCAGATAGACAAAACATTTTAAGTGGTATATGATAAGGATGGCAAGATCTAGCTATATAGCAAAACTCATTAAATTCTGTGGACTTATTTTGGAGTTATGGTCCCTGAAATGGCAAATTCTTATGATTTGGCAGTTTCAGCATGAACATTTTCCAAAATCTTTATCTCTGAAACTACCAGGCAAATTTTTCTGAGACTTTCATGTATTAATGTAAGGCATGTTCTCCATAAAAGTTCCACTTTTCATAAAATATGTTTAAATTTTTTTTTTAAGTTATCTTGAGTTAAATTTGTTATATTTCAATTTTTTGAAATTTGGCACAATTTATTTTCACCTTTCAAAAGTTTTAGCTCCAAGAACCACTGTAACATTTCCAATCAAAATTCTGACTGCATAGAACATTCTAGAGTAAAGGATATTTTGATTTTGATATTTCCAAAGGAGATAATAAATAGAATGTAAAATGTAGGGTTGGGTCAGTTTTCTTGACAGATATCTTTTTAAATGTGCCCAAGATCAGTTAAGCTATAATTTGTGTAGATAATTAGCATGGCATCTTAATGTTCATAAGATTCTAATTTGTTGGCAGTCACCAGGCAGTGTAACCTTAAAGGCAAAGGATGTAAATGGGGACCTCACTTTGGCAAATGAATAAATATAGGAAAATTTATGAACATCGTTAGACTATTTTTCAATGACAACCAATTACAGTTTGGCAAATTAATGTGCAACCATTAATATGAAGAATACAAAAAAATTTTTGAAGAGGGCTTAAATACATGTAGCCCACTGCATGTGTTAATGTATGTGTAATGTATTTTTACAAAGATGAAATATTTTAGTAATTGAAATTAGAAAGCAAGATTTAAGCTATTTCTTTCCTTATGTGTTTTGATGGGTCATGAGAAAGTATCTATAGTAAGAGGTAGAAGGTTTGCCAGTTAGATAAGCTTTGTGCTTTATGGTTATTTTGTTATGTATACATGTACAACAATTATTTCATTAGACTAAGTTCAAAACATATTTTGGATGACAGTATACAAACAGTGTAATTTTAAAAGTTTCAAAGAACTGTTTTGTGTTTGATATTTCAGGTTTTCTCCAGATGGTCGTTTAATCGTATCTGGAAGTGATGATAAAACAGTCAAAATCTGGGACAGAAACAGCAAAGAGTGCATTCACACTTTCTATGAACATGGAGGGTAAGTTCATTCTAGAGATGAACACATTCTATGAACATGGAGGGTAAGTTCATTCTAGAGTTGAACACTTTCTATGAACATGGAGGGTAAGTTCATTCTAGAGATGAGCACATTCTATGAACATGGAGGGTAAGTTCATTCTAGAGTTGAACACTTTCTATGAACATGGAGGGTAAGTCTCATTCTAGAGATGAACACATTCTATGAACATGGAGGGTAAGTTCATTCTAGAGTTGAACACTTTCTATGAACATGGAGGGTAAGTCTCATTCTAGAGATGGATACTTTCTATGAACATAGAAGGTAAGTCTCATTCTAAGAGGTGAACATTGAGGGTAAGGTTAATGCTAGAGATGAACACTTTCTATGAACATGGAGGGTAAGTCTCATTCTAGAGATGAATACTTTCAAAAAGTGTGTCACTATAACATTAAATGCTTTCAGAATGTAGTTTACCAGAAAATTTACTTTTATAAACAAACTTGTTGCAGCATTTACGTGTAAAAATGAATGTTACTCTGTTATATGTTTAGAAATTGAAATTACTGTAAAAATGGTAACTCAGTAGTATAGAATGAAATGTTGTTAAGTGATTTTCAGATGTTGTGTAAATCTGAAATTGCTGTTTATGCAAATTTTGCAGTTTATAGATAATTTTGATATTAAATTTGTGTTTATTTTTAAACTTTAGGTTTGTAAACCAAGTAGAATTTCATCCCAGTGGGACATGCATTGCATCAGCTGGAACAGACAGCACAGTCAAAGTGTGGGATATCAGAATGAACAAACTCTTACAACATTACACAGGTATTACATTCAGAATGAACAAACTCTTACAACATTACACAGGTATTACATTCAGAATGAACAAACTCTTACAACATTACACAGGTAATACATTCAGAATGAACAAACTCTTACAACGTTACACAAGTATTGCATGATATCTTCAAAATGTTTCTTCGTTAAAATCAGGGGCATGATAAAAATGTTAAAATAATATGTTTAAGTTATTAGATGCTATTTTTAGGGTTACTGGTCGAGGGTTTTGGTGGTTTCTTCAGTAACTTATTTAAATTATTTCTACACAATTATGAACATGTAAAACTTCCTGTCTTTGTTTATTTGAGGAAAAGTTATAGGTCTCAACAGTGACATCATTAAAAAAATTGTTTAGATTTTGCATAAGCCTTAACATCTGTGTGGTAGGAATTTTAAATTCTTTGAAATTAATTTGAAATAGGTATTGTTTAATTAACTACTGGTGTATTTTATACTGTTATCATTGTTCTTGTTTTGACTGTTTTTTTAGCACACAGTGCCGCTGTAAACAGCCTCTCGTTCCATGCGAGTGGTAACTACCTGATATCGGGGTCTGATGACTCCACACTGAAGGTGTTTGACCTACTGGAGGGTAGATTGTTCTATACACTACATGGACACCAGGTAATACACACACACACACCTCATATCTTCTCACTGAGCTCTTCATGTGAAATCATAGGGATCTTTGGAACATTAAAAAAATAAGTTTGCATATTCATGTATCAGTTGAATGTTGTCTATGTATGAAATCAATTCAGTAATGGTTTTGTTGTCCATATGAATTAATTTTTATGTATTTCATATGATGATTTTGAAAAGGAAAATGACACTTTCTGAACTTAAAGGCAAAAAAAATCTTTGAAGGTTCATGTACCTGATTCAGTTGTATTTTTTTTAAATGCAGTATTTTGATTTTGTTTCCTAGGGTCCATGCACAGCAGTGGTCTTTTCCAAGTCTGGTGAATATTTCGCATCCGGAGGATCAGATGAGCAAGTAAGGATTTTTCTCCTTGCTACTTTAGTGTTAATATTAAAAGAGATATGGTCTAGGTCAATTTCATATCAGTGAAAATCACATGGAACTTCAACACTGGGCATTGACAGAGTTTGTGTATGTATATGAGAGGTTCTTTTGTTTTGTGTATACATGCAGTTGCTTGCTCATAGAAATTCCAACATTTACAATGTTTCTGTTTTATGTACATATGGTTTTAACATTTTATATTGGTGGTTGAAATTTTGTGTTAGATAATATATGTTTTGTTCTTATCTCATAGGTGCTTGTCTGGAAGACAAATTTTGATCAACTGGATTTTTCTGAAGTTCTCCAGTCTCACAAAAATAAACAAGAGGAGACAACTCCATGTGACCCCAGTGTATCAGATATACCCCCACGAGTTGTCAAAAAACCTGCCAAACCAAAGTCACCAAGAGGGGTCAGTATTTTTCACCATTGTTAAGATGCAAGTTTATAGTTCTTTCTTTTTTTTTTTTTTTTTTATTTGAGGTTATTTTTCACAGAATTTTCAGTTTGTATTTTTGTTTTCACATTTCAGTTCATGCACTTCAACTTTTAACATTTTCCTCAAAAATTAAAAAGCTTGGAATTGACATCCTTAAAAAAATAAATATAATTTAGATTGCATGTTTGACTCAAATAACATGTGTTTAGAGTATCTCTGATGAAAAAAGAAAAAAGTAGAATGTATTTAAAAAAACGTTCAATTTACTGACTTTTAAAATATACTATTAATACTGTAAATTAATACCACAGAAATGTATGAAACATAAATAATTTTTTCCTGTAAATTCCATTTAAAAATTAAGCTCATGTCAGACCACATTAATAAAGTATCTTTCATTATATCATGAAAATGTAATCTGATAAGATGTAGATAGGAAAGAGGAAAAGTCAAAGACCAAAATTATTTTCCAGTATGATGCTAGAACAGAGCTTAAAAACATGGACGATGAATCAGTTCCTGTAACAGATGTAGGACCAGCTATGTTTGCTCCTGAGCAGGTAGTGGGAGTAGAATTAGCAATATATTGAAAAACCGATACTGGACTTATAGTGTATCTTACATATGACTTATGATATTAATTGAATTATTTAATTAGGTTCAAATTTTCCATGCATGTTCTTTGTCTTTTGAATCATAAGTACCGGTGTTAAAGAAGTTTAAAATTTATGAAAAGTACTAACAAGCCAATGTTTAATTATATGCCTGAAAATTTTTCATCTCTTGAAGTGTATGATTTTAAAGTACATGTAATATTTCATTTATAATACATGTACAATTGTATATTTCTTACTACAGTATCTAAAATAAGAATTTACATATATATGTTGTTGTTGAACAGTGTTTTCCATAAGAACCGGCTACTGGTCAAACTGACCACTTCATTTGATGAAAATCCAACTTAGAAATCAAAATTTAAAATGTAACTGTTATAAGGTCCACAGAGATTTATTCATAAACCTCATCCTGTAACCTTTTACAAGTGATCTCAAATCTTTTTCTTTGAAATAAAGGGAAAACACTGGTTGAACTCATGCATACATCTCAGTGAAAGAGTATGTTAAAAGAGTGAATTTATATGTCAGTTAAAGAGCTTATTAAAATACACTTTGATCTACATCATACATTTTCAACTTTATGCATCACTACTAACACACAGTAGCTATAAAGTTGTGGGGGAAAAATCAGTTGCCATGTTAAATTTTCAAAAAAATTATACAGTGTCAAAATAGATAACTGAAGGTTTGGATTTCATTGAAAGAAATTTTGTGTGCATGTCTATATTCATATGCACCAGAAAACAAGTTTTATATGAAATACACTTATATTTTCTCAGCAGAATGGTGTAAGTTTTGACATTGATGTGAATTCTGAACCTGAGCCAACAATACGCACCACGAAAGACCGCCCAGCCACCACCCAGCAGCTGGAACCACAGGCTCTACCTCCGCAGCTCGCCAAAACCCTAGAGCAAATTGTAGGACAGCTAGATGTACTTACTCAGGTAAAATAAAACACAGAGTTACAGGCACAGCAATACAATGAAGATGTGACCTATACATGATCTTTTTCCTATAGGGAAAAAGAGGGACAGGCACAGGTCAGAGGTTCAAAGGTCATCTGTTATACCCAACTTAAATCTTGTTCAGCCAATACCCCTTTAAGAATCCTCTAATTAGTAGTCAACAGACTTTATACACATTTTTTTTAATCCATTTTCATTTTCAGGTCAGGGACAGTAGTTGATGTGTTAACATCCTCATCAAATTGTCAATTGCTCTGTAGTCAATAAACTTCATACACAAGTTGGCTGAAAAAAGTAGATAATTAATCCTTATTTATATGCTGGGTTGAGGGAACATATACTGATACATACATGTATACTTGTATGTATTACAAAAATTTTAATCTTCTCACTCATGAGATTGTTACCAAAGACAGGCTCATTGCCAGCAACATTTTATAAGATCTGAGAAATGGTCCGTTTTTTTCTCTTTTGGGGGTGGGGGTGGGTGGATGGGAGTAGATTTTGTTATATACATGTATGAATTTTTTTTTTTTTTACTTAATATACTATGTAATTTTTTTCATCACAATTCACACACTTTAAAATTCAGAATTACAGAAGTTACCCTGATGGTACACTGATTTACAATGCTTATTGTTTTATTTTTCAAAATGAATGATTGATAGGAGGGAATAAAAATATGAATGCTTAGTTAAGTCATTAAGAGAGAAACTTTATGTGAAATAGTCGGTGATTTTTATTTTTTGTGATTATTTAATGTTGTATTTTACAGACTGTTTCGTTGTTGGAGCAGAGACTAACAATGACAGAGAACAAATTACGGGAATGCATAGACAATCAGCAAAGATTAACACTACAGATTCGTCCAATGGATTGATCTGTTTTGATCATCATTCCTTTAGATATTTAACTGGGAAAAAAAACCTGTGAGTGGAAGGAACATTTCTGAGAGGCATTTACAAGATGAACAATTCTGACAAAGTAGGTTTACAGATCAGTGCTTTGTGACAGTCCATAATTCATTTGATTTCCCAGTGCAGCTTCAGAAAGGAAAGGTGCCATGCAGCTAACAGTCAGAAACAAAAAGAACACCTGGCAGTGTTAAAGACCATTTTGGCCTGCTGAATAAACTTCCTTTCAAATTTTAAAATATTTTACTGTTTGATTTTATTTGTGTAGATTAAGGATTATATTAGCTGTTTGCTGTAACTCACCCTCTTCGCCTATTTATAGAATGGTTTGAAAGTTAATTCTTTTAAAGAAATTATTTAACAAACTTCAGCTAAAAAAAAAAAGTAGAAATATTTTGTTCAGAAAAATGGCAATGAAAATCTCTGAGTCAAGATGCAAATCTGTTGTTAAGGGAGAACACAGAATGTTCCTTGCATTATATTCATTTTAGAAAGGAATCCGTCCATGTCTGAATCTCTTATTTTTAATCAAGATTTGTTCTTCAAAGCATGTGGTCTAATATCTTTATTTTTAGCTTTGTTTTTTTCACATTTTACCTCTTAGGTATAAATATTCAATATTGATATTGTTATTTAATATTCAATATTGATATTGTTATTTAATAAATTGATATTGTTATTTAATGATTTCATTGATAATTTCACACGTTACCAGCTCAGTTATTGTGGATTTCTTTCAGTTGGGTATAATCTTATTTTCTAATTTGTTGGTTAAGCTGCTCCAGTGAGGAGATTGTACATCATTCAATTTTTTCTCCAGTTTTGCATGCATTAGAATCTCACATCCAGAAAAAAAACATAATGCTGTATAAATAAAAGTGATGAATCCCTTTTGATCTGTTAACTGGAATTTTAGTTAACTGGAATGTTAAAGAGATAAGATTTCACCAGTAAATTTATTATTAAATACATGTGTACCTTGTTCTTTTTTCTCTAAATTTCTTAAATGATTTTTTTTTATCACTTACATGTGTATTGTTTGAAAGTTAAGGAAAAACTGTTTATCAGGGATTTGTTTTCAATGAATACATGTTCACTCCACTTTTAAATACTTATACTGGTATATTTTGTTTTACTATTCTTTTAATAACTACATGTAGCATGTAGTGAAAATGAGTTAAATGTTTTTATTCACAAGATTTGATTCAATTTTTTTATACATATCTAGGGTACTCTTTCAAGCTTTTTGTAATTCAGAAAAATTCAGAACTACTTGCATGTAAAAGATATCATTTTAGGACCTTCATGCAAACTGCTTTTTTAACACTTGCTTAATTTTAAAATGTATGACAATTCATGTGTTTCAAAACATATGAACACATTTTATTTGCACTTTCTGAATAAGAAATATTCAACATGTTACACAAGTACCTGAGTGGAGAGAATTATTGAGTTTCCCATTCCTAAAGTAGAAAGGAGTTTATTGAGAAGTAATTGATAGTGTATATTTGACATAGAAGATTATATGTTTGTATGAAAGAATAAACTGTCATCTTACAAGGGCATATAATTGTGATATTTGACAAACTCGTAATAGAAAAAAGTCTTATGTAGTTATACTAATATTTATTATTTTGTAAATAAACAGAAAATTTATGTTTGTTGTGAATTCTTTATTATGAATTCTGTAAAAGTTCAGTGGTGATAGTGTGTGACATCTATAAGAAGATTATACATTGATTCAAAACCTTGTTCGTCATTAATACTCTTTCTGATTGGATGGGATCAGAAATGAGACTTGTAGATCTCTTGCAATCACACAACCACCTCAGCAAAAGGAGTTGATTTATCATCTCCACAAAATGTATAGGTATATTGCCCAAATCTATTTTAGCTGCTTAATGGAACATGATTCTTCTGTATGTTTTCATACATGAACAATGATGATAAAGTACCTCCATCTCAACTCTCCTCAATGCTTCATAAGTAAATGAGTGCAAGGAAGATTACTGAGTGTATGGCAAAAATGTAACAGTTTCTTTACGAAGTCTTCGCTGCTTGATTGATATTGAAGCTCTGGCATTTAGCTTTGGATATTAGAAGATTGATTAGAAAAAAGAATTTTTACTGAAGTAACATGAAGAGATGGGGAGAAGGAAGAGAGAGAGAATTTAAATTACTGTGAATAGTGTTTACATTTTTAACGGTTTAATAGATGCTATGTAATCTTGATTTGATTTATGCAGATTTATTATAGAACTGTCAGCGAGAAATACAAGAGGCCCAAGGGCCTTAACGGTCACCTGAGTACAACAATTTAGAGGATCCATAAACTGATAAATGAAGCTTTAATTGTTACCCAATAGCAAGAAAATTAGTATGATTAAGATCAACAAAATAATTGGTCTAGTATCTTTCTATCTGCCCCCCATTTTATTTTTGTTTCATTTTTATTTATCTATTATTTCCAAGTCTACCTGATTATTAAACTATAAAAGTACTTTTAATATTATACAATAAATGTTCTTGCATAATTCTCTTATTCTATTAACCTTTCAAATACATTATCTACAGTGATTAATTATCAAAAGTGAACGGCAAAGGGGAATAACTTCACTCAATAGAATACAAATTAATAGAGCCCTGGCCAGGACCAGAACACTTGACTAAATGGTCCAGATGTTGAAAATTTATAAATTTGGAAGAGGTACCCTCATCATCATAACTATGCAATTAGTTGAAGATTTTCAAAGAATTCACACATTTTCACTATATTATCAATAGAGCCCCCCCCCCCCCCCCCCCCCTCAGAGAAACAACAGAACCCCTGGGATCACAAGTTTTAAAAATTTTGTAAAAGCATCCTTGCTCATCATAACTATACACTTGTTTCTTTGCTTTATAACCAGGAGTAGAAAAAATATTTTGAAGGAAATTATGAATTTCACTATATAATCAATAGAGTCCCCCCCCCCCCCCTTCACCAGAACCCCTGACCCAGGGGCCATGAAATTCACAATTTTGGACGAGGCAGCCATGCTCATCATAACAATGTACTAAGTTACTTTATTTCATACCCATGAGCAGAGAAGAAGATTTTGAAAGATAAAATGCATTTTCACTATATAATCAATAGAGCCCCGCCCTAACACTAGAACCCCTGACCCAGGGGCCATGAAATTCACAATTTTGGAAAAAACAGCCATGCTCATTATAACTATGTACTAAGTTACTTTATTTCATACCCAGGAGCAGAGGAGAAGATTTTCAAAGATTTAATGCATTTTCACTATATAATCAATAGAGCCCCACCCTAAAGCCAGAACCCCTGACCCAGGGGCCATAAAATTCACAATTTTGGAAGAAGCAGCTATGCTCATCATAACAATGCACTTAGTTAATTTATTTAATTCTCATGAGCAGAGAAGAAGATTTTCAAAGATATAATGCATTTTCACTACATAATCAATAGAGCCCCGCCCTAACACTAGAACCCCTGACCCAGGGGCCATGAAATTCACAATTTTGGAAGAGGCAGCCATGTTCAGTATAACTATATACTTAGTTACTCTATGTCATACCCAGGAGCAGAGGAGAAGATTTTCAAAGATTTAATGCATTTTCACTATATAATCAATAGAGCCCCACCCTAACACCAGACCCCTGACCCAGGGGCCATGAAATTCACAATTTTGGAAGAGACACTCTTGCTTATCATAACTATGTACTTAGTTAGTTATCTAATACCCAGGAGCAGAGAAGAAGATTTTCAAAGAATTAATGTATTTTCACTATATAATCAATAGAGCCCCGCCCTAACACCAGAACCCCTGACCCAGGGGCCATGAAATTCACAATTTTGGAAGAGGCAGTCTTGCTCTACATAACTATGTAGTTAGTTTATCTAATACCCAGGAGCAGAGAAGAAGATTTTCAAAGAAATAATGCACTTTCACTATATGTTCTGTATAGCCCCACCCTAGCACCAGAACCCCTGACCCTGGGGCCATGAATTTCACAATATTGGTAGAGGGCTCAATGCTTATTACAATCATGCCAGCAGTTTGACTGCTTGATGTCCAGGAGTAAAGAAGAAGATTTTTAAAGATTGCATCAATTTTGGTGGTTTTAGCCCCACCCCTCAGGCCCCAGGTGGACAGGGACCATGAAATTCACAATTTTTGTCCCCCTTCACCCATAGATGTTATATGCCAAAATTGGTTGAAATTGGTTGAGCGGTTTCAGAGAAGAAGCTGAAAATGTTTAAATGTTAACGCACGACGGACGACGACGGACAAAAACGGATAGCAATAGGTCACCTGAGTGACCCAGGTGACTTAAAAATCCCCATCTACTCGCAAACATAATTTTTTTTTTTTTTTTGTTTTCTTTTCCTTTCTTTTTTTTTTTTTTGAATATTATTAAACCGATTGATAACTTTCCTTGATTTTCTAAAAATTACCTTTGTACAGAAAAAAAGAAAAGTGTATGTGTGTCGAAATTCAATAGTTTTTAGCTATGGAAACTGACAAATGAATCCAAAATGTCAGTAGGAAATATTTTGAAAATCCTTGAAAGGTTTTATAATTAAAATATGCAATGACTTAACAGTAGACAAGAAACATTTCCGTAGAAAGGAAAAGAAAAAGAAAAACCATCTCAATTTAAAAAAAAATGGTATTGAGTATTAATTGACGCCTTATTTGAAGAAAGTAAATTAATTTTTTTTCCATTCTTTTGATCTTGCATTGTCGTTGCAATATAAACTCAAAATTTCTGTTTTTTAACAGATTTCAAGTAAGACTTGTAGGTTAGCCAGAAAAAATACCACTGTATATACATAAGAGTAATTTATTCATTTAACTCTTTTTACAACAAATATCAGCTGAACAAACAGACGACATAGTAGAAATCAAGCTGAAGAAATGGCACTGTTGCACAAAATGGTAGTGTTAGACAATATAATTCTATATCAGTGACTAAAACATTCTACTTCTTTCTAACAAATTCAGCTAGAAACACAAAGAACAATTAATCTGAAATATATTTAAAGAAAAAAAAATCCACTGGATCATAAAATTTGAATATTCAGACACATGTATAGCATGTGCAAATACATTCATAATTCGACATTTCAAAGAAAATCTACCATTAGGTCTGATATTCGAAATCTAAGTAAATTAGAATGTCAAAAAGGTGAAATATTAAATCTTAATAACAAGAAATATCATTAACGTGAGTCGCAAAAAGATTTCTGATTTAATTCTCGAAATCGTAATTTTGACAGAAAGTGACCTTTTCGACACTATTCAGGCATATATTCCTTTGCGTAATTGGTAAAAGTTCTACAAATCATGTCAGTTTGCAAAGTTCATTTATCTGTTAAATATACATAAAAAATTGTTTCCGCTAAAAATCCAGAAATTATTAAATATGAAATTTTCTACTGCAAGAAACGTATAATAAATATTTAAATAACTGTTATGGTTCATGGAATGAACATTTGTTTAATCGATTTATCTATCATTAACATATATTATTCTGATTTTAAATCAAGTATTACATATATAGATAACATCAGCTTTTTTTTCTTTTAAAAGCAGATGGGAATAATTAAATAAAAAGTGGTATGCGATTAAAATATGTCATTAAAGAAATATATTCAAAAAAGAAATATACTCAATCATGCTCAAATAATTTACTGTTTAAACTTCAACTTTAAAGCAAACAATATTAATCAAAAAAACATCTCAATCTCAGCAAAAAAATTACACCCCCCTCTAATATTCAGAATAGTTTACTCATGTTAAAAATTATGAGTAGCTTTGTATATAAATACAATTCTGTACATGTTGAATTTAAATCCCGATAGGATGACCTTTTTTACTAGAATTTAAATGTGGATAGGAATACCTGTCACCCCAACATTCTGAGTTGCACTTCCAGACGTGGAGAAAGACGAATCAAATGGACTAGATGTGAAGCTGGATCGCCTTCGCTTAATTATATCCATCACACTTTTATAAGTGGCAGGATCTACAATTTCGTTCCGTTGATTGTGGACTATATGTCCATTTCCGTCGGTGTGAACATGGAAGGAACTTGTGGGTAGGGACACTTCTTTAAACTGGACTGATCCACTGCTAAATTTGCGGTCTAAAGACCTGCCAATCCCACTGTTTGCTCCAACTTGAGTTACTCTCCTGACGGTGAAGATAGATGAGTCAACAGGTAAAGATACAGAACCTGATTCCATAGCTTTCCTACGGTTGATGATATCCATCACTTTCTTGTAAGTGACTTCATTAACATTTTCGTGTCGTTGGTTGTGGACTATATGCTGTCCTCCATCACTGTGTACATGGAAGTGCCCTGTAGGTAATGACACTTCAGCCACATTAATTGTGTGTTCACCGTGAGCATGACCATGGTCAAAGTGAACTTTTTCACCCCCAGTTTTAATCATTTTCCCGCTTACAGATCCAAAAAGAGGCTGGCCTTCCACATATGTAGTATGTGTCCCATGGCCATAATTTGAATTAGCATGCCCACCATGTACTCCAATATCATTTATAGACATACCGGTAGATCCAGTAAGACGGGACGATATTCCATTACCCTCAGCAGTGTTGTTGGTCTGGCCTCCAAATCCAATGCTGACAGAACCATCTGTACCTGTGTTAAACACTCTTCTCTGCATACCAGGAACATTCCAAGTTCTCGTAAATGTACTTTTTCGAACGCCTGGTGACGAATGACGAACGTTAATAAAATTGTTTCTTTGATCTCCAACGTCAATGGTGACAGAACCACCCTGCCCCGTGTTTAACACTCTTGTCATATTTCCTGGAATATCAATAGTCCTAGTGAGAGTTCTTTTCTTAACGACTGCTGATGGCTGGCGAAAGTTTACATATACCCTCTGCATCTCTTTGGAGCCACCAGGTTGGTGTCTGTATATCTTGATAAAGCCACCAGCTGGATTTTCAACTTGTTTTGCATTATCTTTGAGATATTGATAGGCTGAAGCCCCGTCTGCTTCTCTTATTTTACTGGTTATTGCTAAAAATATCTTAGATGGTTTCTTCTTCAATGCAGTACCATTTAATGTTATTACTCTAGGCTCATTTATGAAAGCCTGTGGGTCTCTGTTTAATGTGTACCTCGAAGCCGTAGAACCCATTTGCTGTTCTATTCTCCCAGCAATGTCTATGGCTCCATCAGGAATAGCAATATGAGTTCCTTTTGATTTAGTAGAATCGGACCACGATTTCACTACGTAAGGTTCCTTAACATAATTACCCACAGCAATCCCTTGAACTTGTTGTTTATTATCTTTCGCAAGTTTACCTTTCCCTTTGAGGGATAAATCCACAAACCCACTGGAATCAGTAATTGTAGAGGAACCTTGCAGAGAAGATAGAGACTGAGCAGAACTACCTTGAGATATTCTGGAAGTTTTGTAATCGGCATTCGCCGTAGGATTCTGCCAAGATGAATCGGTTTGAACTAGGCTTCCACTGCTACTTTTTATAATCATATTTTCCCCTGGTTGACTAGCTTCTACCACTTTGCTTTTCAAGGACATATCTACATAACCACCAGCCGATACACTATTATCAACATATGTAGCTGATGATTCAATAGGAATGCCCTGACTAGCCAGTGATGTTTTGAATTCAGGATTTGGGGACGGATTCTGCCAAGATATATCTGTTTGAACTGGGACTCCAGTGCTACTTTCTATTAAGGTGTTTCTTCCTTGTTGTTGTGCTTCCACTACCTTGCTTTTAAGGGGCATATCTATATACCCACCTGGCGAAACACTGTTATCCACATATGTGGCTGATGAGTCAACAGAAATACCTTGATTTGGCTGGAATGTAGTGAATTCTGGATCTATGGAAGGACTCTGCCAAGATACATCTGTTTGACCTTGGACACCACCATTACTTTCTACAAAGACGTTTTCACCTGGTTGACCTTTTTCTACTGCCTTGCCATTAAGAGACAGATCGACATATCCACCAGAAGAAGCAGGGATATCAACAAGGTTAGCGGTTGATCTGACTGCAGGTTCTAAATTTTGGGAAATTGTATCAACTATTATTGAGTCAACATTGTTTCCGGTGCTTTCTGAGATGGTTGATTCCACAGCTGAAGGGACCCCCTGTACTATTGTTCCAGTATCTTGGAATTTCAAATTTGTTCCTTGAGGTTCTTGTTGATTTGGTATATATTGGTTTGCATTTCGAGTGTTACTTTCTACTATGCTTCCTCCTGGTACTGAAGGTTTCATATAGTTAGTAAGCGAAGGTTCAACAGGGATAGACGTTAAAACGGAGGTACTTTCCATACCAGGGGTCTGCTCAGATTTAATAAATGTAGGATCTGGAGAGGTTGGAATGTAATTTACTTGTTCACTGTAAATTGTCTCAACTGGACCATAATTTGTATCAACGGAGAGTCCTACATTTCCAGTCTGTACAGCAATATCTTGAATCTTCTCAGAAAATTTGGAACCGGTAGCCAAAGAGGAATCTGTCCAAGACGAATCTGGCGTACCAGGAATGCCTTGACCTGTCTTGGAGATGCTATTACTACTTTTCACAAAGATGCCAGTGCCTTGGTCGCTACTTTCGACTGCTTTTCCATTGAGAGATAGATCAACATATCCACCAGACGATTTAGAGCTATCTGCATAACTAGATGTTGAGTCAACAGTTGGTTCTTGGTTTTGAGAAGTTTTATCAGTCACGACAGTGTTGATATTGCCTCCAGTGCTATCAGATACTGGAGATACTGCAACGGATGTTGAAAATAACGAAGTTGCCCCAGTGTCAAATATATTTTCTGAATGGCTAGAAATACCTTTACCACTTTCAGAACCAATGCCCCTTCCCGTAGTAATTAATTCTCCAATACCCCTATTGGAGGAACCTGTAATTAAGCCCGCATCATAGGCATTTTCTGGTTGTTTGGCAATACTTTGGCTACTTGCAAAATTTTTTGAATCAGTAACTGTGGAAGAACCTTGCCAGGAAGAATCCGGCTGTATTGCGGTTTTTGAAGTTGTATCAGAATATGAGGAAGGATTCTGCCAAGAGGAATCGGATTGAATTGGAATACCGTCACCTTTTTTCACAAACCTGTCTTTTGTATCAAGCGAAGTCCATTCAGATGTTGAACTGCTAATGCTCCCTGGAATATTTATATACGATTTGTCAATGTTATCTCTCCTAATATCATTTATTGTTGTCTCGGCCATTTTCATGCCTGATTCTACCTGTTCTGTGTCCTTTGAAACATTGCTCGAGTCGTCTGAATTACCACTGTCTCCATCACCTGAATCAGAACGTGTTCCGTCTCCTGCTATATCACCCATACCTCCACATTTGTTACAGTCTTGTTTATCCCCTGAGTCACTCTCTATTTTATCTCCTCCGGAATCACTTCCACCTCTATCATCTGAATTGGAACTATCTTCTCTCTCAGAATTTCCACCTTTACGTCCACATCTATTGCAATTTCCTTTCTCTCCTGAGTTTGAGCTCCTTCTCTGTCCGGAATAACTATCACCTCCATCAGATGAATCGGATTCTGTCAAATCTTCAGTTGTTTCACGCTTACCTCCACAATTATTGCAGCTTTGTCTATCACCAGAATCATTGCTCTCATCGTCTGAATTACCCTCGCGTCTATCGTCTGAATTAGAGCGTGTTCCGTCTCCTGCTATATCACCCATACCTCCACATTTGTTACAGTCTTGTTCATCCCCTGAGTCACTGTCGGTTTTATCTCCTCCGGAATCACTTCCACCCCTATCATCTGAATTGGAACTTGTTTCTCTATCAGAATTTCCACCTTTACGTCCACATTTGTTGCAATTTCCTTTCTCTCTTGATTTAGCTCCTGTTTCTTGACTCCTACTTCCGTCTTTTGAATCAGATTCTGTTTCATCCCTAGCCGAATCACTATTACCTCCACATGTACTGCAGCTTTGAACATCCCCTGATTCACTGCTCGTCTTATCAGGTTTATCATCGCTGCTTAAGTCTCCTGGATTGTAACTCATTTCTCCACTAGCAGAATCGCCTTTACTACCACAATTTTTACAGTTTTGTTCACTGCCTGTTCCTGCTTCATCGCCCGAATCGGAATCGGCTCCATCTGTTTTACCCCCACCAGAGTCAATTTCTGCATTTTCCCCCAAACCTATGAATTCACCTTCATAATCTAACTTCTGATTTAAAGCTTCCATAGTTTGATCATAATTATTGTAATAAATAGCATCACTATTTTCATTTCCATCTCCTGGATTAGAAGCCTTGGTTGCGTAATCGTCATCTAACAACATCTGATTGGGACTTATATAATGCTCTCCTTCAGCAATTCCAAATGTGCCGTCAGAAGTGTCTGTGTCGCCCTCTTTGATGTCCCCTGTGTAATCTAAGTTTTGGTCAAAGGCATCTGTAGTTTGATCGTAATTTTCGTCCTGGCCAACCACATTTTGATATGTGGCATCAATATCCGATGTGTCAGTATGACCTTCTTTTGAATCAGTATTAGTATTTGAATCTCCTTGATTTATGCCTGTGTTGTGTGCGGGTTCATTGTAGCTTTTTTCAGAATCCTTATCAGTTTTTTGACTGGTATTCTCATCGTAATTTAAGGTGTCATCACTGGTATGATCGTCAGTTTGGTGACTTGTTTCATCATCGTCCTCTATTTCACGTTTTCTAATACTATGGACATGGAGACTACGACTTTCAATGTTTTCGAAATTTTGCGATTCTAATTCCAGATGGAGTTCAGATCGTCCACCATTGACTGCAAAATTAAAAATTAGATATACACTAAAAGAATTCACAGCCATTTTCGTAAGTTTTGTTTTAAATCGCATGCTTTGCTTATTACAAATTAAACGAAAAAGCGTTTACAGAATAGATTACAATGGCAGCGTTCGCATATTTGAGAAACAGCTTATTTCTTCACTAAAAAGTCACCATTTTTTTATTTAAGGAGGAAGAAAATGACACATCCAGTCGTAAACATGGCTTAAGGACCCAGTTTGAAAGGACCTCTTGACTATTATATTAACACTTGCAGGATATTGTCTGTATGTTTTATTGATATTTTGACCATACTCACAGGTAGTAACAAGGAAAAGAATGACAGCGGCCTTAAAAGACTCCATCAGGAAAACAAAAGATTCTATAAATTAAAAAAAAGCTAGTAAAGTAAAGGGAAATAAGAATTGCTGAACTACATCAGTTAATATTGGAAGGTAGCAACTACTTATATATGTGATCTTGAGTTAAAGTTAAAAAGATGTATATACATCATCAAAAATTTAAAGAATAATTATGACATTCAGAGTATGTCCTTTGGTGCCTTTCACTATAACGGGAAAAAGTTCCTGAGACCTATTTCCAGGTCCCTTCTTAAACAGAAAAACGGATGTTATCAGTGCTTCTACTGATATTACATACATGAAATAAACCCCTTTTTATACATTTCATATCAATGTACCTCTTGATATTAGACCCATCCACACACACACAATGTTATAGATAAAAAAAAATAAATAAGTAAATAAATTAAAACTAGAGTAAAGTACTTGTATAGATATTTTGGGTAAAGGTTTAATTTAAAGAAAAATATTATATATATATATATATATATATATATATATATATATATATATATATATATATATATATATATATATATATATATATATATATATATATATATATATTAGGGATGTCAACGAATAGTCGACTATTCGACTATCAGTCGAATGGACCGACGATCGAATAACGAAACGATATTCGAATAAATAAATTCAATAAAAGAGTGATCAAGAGATGGAATTCTCATGCTAAAATTGAGAAACTGTCTTTCCTCAGACACAGTTTATAAGATAATTTTCCTCATTAAAAACTGTTGACTTTACCTGTAGAATGTACAGTAATTAGAAATGCTTCACTTCCGCGAGAATTATTTGCCAATTAATGTGTTGTTTTGTAATAAAATTATCTCGCTATACTGCGCTTTCTTTGTAATATTATTAACTGGATTTGATCTCATAACATGTACCCATTGTAGCCGTGACATGTTTGGACACTACGATAATTATTATAAAATTAATATTCTTTTACATATTTCAAAGACATTCTGATAGTTGGTACAAAAAGTAAATTCAAATATTTAACATTATCAAAGACACCGTGTGTGCCCCCCCCCCCATCATTTAAATAAGCCTTAATGAAATATATCGTACTGTCATTCTTTTATGCTTCCTTGAAAAAAAAAACCGACTTTACAGACCGATTTATGAACATGATTACCGAAGAAATCATACATTTTGGAGAAAACATTTGTGTAACATTTGATATTACTTTTTAATAAATTTAAGAAAAGAGGATTTGGGGTTAAATATGTCATGTACCAGTTAAGTTTGAAATAAAATTTTAGTTTCCGAAAAAGTTTCGAATATATTCGACTATCGTTCGAATAATGCAATCGAATATTCGACTAAAGAAAATAAATACTTTGACATCCCTAATATATATATATATATATATATATATATATATATATGTCTCTCTCTCTCTCTCTCTCTCTCTCTCTCTATATATATATATATATATATATTGAACTGTAATATGTATACAGGTAAGCTCATCATCAATCACATTTCGCGACAGGTATGATCAAAATTAAGGACAAATCGTTCCTAATCTACCTTCCACACCGCGACAGACGATTTTTCATTTAATGATTATTAGAAAAACGAACTATTTTATATATAAGAGGTAGAATCATACATTTTTATTAGTAACTGCAATTAGTTATTATCAATTATTACTTTTTATGTAAAAAAAAAAACCCATAATATTTATGAATGTTTACAATAATATAAAAATAATTTGGTTTTCTTTTTAGATTCCGGGAAATTATATATTTTTAAAAACACATATAAATCAAATCAATTTTCATACATGATAAACCACTTCCATGTAAAAATCAACAATATTATATTAAAATAGAAAAGAAATAAAAGACATAAAAAAATAAATAAAACAAAAAAAATAAGAAATACGTCATGATTTAATAAAGCACTAAATTACACACATTTTATTTTCAATATTTAATTTTTTTTGAAAAAAAAAAAGAGAAGATATTTATATAGAATACCTTGACTGGTGCCTCAAAACCGAGATTGTAATCCTGTAAGTAAGTGTCAAGAGAGAAAATGATTTCACAAACATTTCACAATCAGCATTAAATAAGCTGTTCATAGATCACTACCACTAGATACATCATTGTAATATATTGCTTATTAAAATGCATAGTCTATTTAAAGTATGACACCAGAAAAATACTTTTTATTTAACTAAAAATGTATTTTTCACTCCCTTTTGTGAAATGCATGCATAACAATCAATAAGGAATAACAATTAAATTAAAGTTACATCTAATTAAGTAAATGTCTAATTTGAAAAAAAAGGTCACTTTTTCACTGTTTTATATATTCATCTAATCTCCGAAAACACGAAAAATGTCGACTTGTGGTTACCTCCCAACATAAATTAAGATTGTATAACAATAATGTGTTAATATAATGTGGAATTATTTTATATGCATTTTCATTTGTAAGTGCACTTATTAAGAAAACAGCTTATTAACAGAAAGTATTCGGACATCTTCAAAAAGCTGCGTTTTATCGATTTCCACTACAATTTGGTCATGCATATTAAAAAGTGTTTTACTTATGTATTGAATACGTCCAATTTTACCATGGTTAATTAAATTTAAAAAAATAATATTTATTTTCTAGCGTAGAAGTAAATAGTTTAAGAACTAAATGTATTCTTTTGTGGCCAATATAGGTTTTAATTAGATCTCGACATAATTTTGCTATGCCAACGAATGGTGTTGCCATGGTTACAAAGACATATATTTCTGTAAATTTAATGACAGAGAAATTTTTCAATGAAATTTTAAAGGATTGTAATTATACCTTGGTATGGGATGCGTGCCTCCACTAAAACATCGATGATAGAAAGTTTAAAACAGTTCCAAACTACAAACAATCGTTATCTTTATTGTTATATTGAAAATATCTCTCGGCACAATATAATATCTAGCCCTTTGACTGTTTAATAGATGGAAACAAAATAAAGAAACGGATTCCAGTTTGATAGTCATAGTCTGTAATTATCATTCTCATTAATTAAACGGTCTTGTTCACAAAAGGTTTGACCGTTACGAACATTGCGTAAGTGATTTTAATCAACTATGCAATAATAATCACTCTTGAATATTCACAATAGTTGACAGTTATTCTTTTGTAGTAATTACTGTCATGATTAAAGTTCGTTAATCTAAAGCTTACGTAACAGATATAACATCCGATATGTCGGGCGTTGTTTTCCCAGATTCTGCTAAACTTCAAATTTGAAATTAAATCTGACTGAAGAAAGAAGATGGACGAACAAGACGAGCGAAATGCCTATAGTGTACCAAACCCTAAGGTGAAAAATTGAATCTCAATTATAACAAAATTTTCATTTAATATAAAAGTATACTTTATGTAAAATCTCCACAATTTGCAAAAAATTCACAAAGATTGAAATTATTTGCCCATGAAATAGCATATACACAATAAAGAGGACAAAAAGGATCATTTCTCATACAAAAAGAGTGATTATTATTCCATAGATACACAGAATTTTGTATCCTATTGTAGTCTACCCGCGTAGTGTAGTAAATACTATTGAAATCAGACTAAACTATAGTAGAAATAGCATTGAAAATTGTTTACAATCAAACAGGAAGCTGGATAGCTTGACGGATGGACAATGGACACCTTATTATAAGCTTTTCTGGTCTCTGAAAAGTAGAGATAAAAAAGGAACTTGGTAATGGGTGAATTAAAAAAAATGACCACCAAACTGAATTTTTTTTTGGCAAAATTCAACTACATATAACATATTTTTCACTTGTATCATCATATTGCACATGCATTCTAGTTTAAAATCCTGAAGTGGCAATAGAATAGACAATTGGATTAAAAAGTTTCAGAATTTTTATCAGTAAAATTTCTTTTGAAAAAAGAAAATATCATTACACCTTAAAAGACTTTCTAAAATACATAATCACAAGAAATTATAGTTTTTTATCCTTAAAAATGGTATAAATGATTAAATCTTGACCTTGAATGAGTATCTTCTCTTGTACATGTGACAAAAAATTGGCTTTTTGATTGTTATTTTACATTATTTTTTCAATTCTGGTTTGAAAAGTTTTAATATGAAAAAAATATGAAGCAATAAAATTCCCCAAAATTCACTTTTTTGTCCGTTCAAGTCAGTTCTTTAAATCTAAGCCAAAAAAGAATTGTTATATATACGAGTTCTCTTACAAAAAATACTAGATTTTGAAGTGACCCTATGTTACATTGTTGTGTTGCACTCCTGACATCTGATATGTATTTTATTTAACATTGTTTTAAAAATTATAACACACAATAACCCATTCTTACTTTGTAAATCAATTTGTCGTGTTGATTTTTTTCATCGTTTACAGCAGGTTTTTCATATTTTGAAGACCTTAAAACATGATTATTTGCAAAGTGTAATATAAATAAATTTTATTTAAAATATATGTGAAATGATGAAAACTATTCCCTGAATTGACTGTAAAATTTCTGTAATTTGTTGATAGACATAGTGTTTTGAACATCAAATAGTATCAAGCATTTTTTTTCAAATTATTTTTTAGTAAAGATAGTTAAAAAGCATTGGTAATTATAAAGCAGTTTTGTTGCACTCCTGACTGCAGTAAAATTGAAAATTAAAACCATAGAACACAAAAATTCATAAAGTGTTGGTAACATCAAGTGATAATGAAATTGTGCAATATTTATAGTCCAATACTTCATAATTAAAACAGATGAAAGTATTTAAAATTCGCATTTTATCTGGAATTATACCCTATTTTATACCAAAAAACTAGCTTAAATATATATTTAAAAGATAAAATATATTTTGAAGCATATTTTCCTTTAGAGAACAAACACAGTAACCCACCAGAAAAATTCTACTCATCACTTTTTCTTTATTTTTATTCTTATTGGATGATTTATAATTCCAACATATTTGTTGCACTCATGACCAAAAGCATTGGGTCTTTAAAGTAGAATTGTGAAGTGAAAATTACATAAGAACTTGTTCTGTTGTTTCAGTGAAGTTGAGGAGGAATTACTTGAATTTAATGACAATGTGTTAGTGTGTTTATTTTTAACGTTCATTAAAAAAATCATAAAAAGATAAAAACACATCTGAATTGATAAAATTGAAAAAGGAAGGATTTTTATTAATAAAACTATCAATAATTTAGCATTAAAATATACAAAAAGATCATTATCAATTAATGAATACTTCTAAGCTTGAATAGAAGTCTTTTCAACACACAACTTGAATCTTTAAAAAAATTTGTTGCACTCCTGACCATAGAAATATGGATCAGAAGCACAGACAGATCCTGTAATTGATAAATCTATTTGGTAAAAATGTTCTTTGTGTCTTTATTTTCCAAAATAAAAATCAGAAAATCATATAATGATAATAGTTTTTTCATGCTTGGGAGCCAAACATCAAATGTTGCACTCCTGACATTTTTGGGTATGCACATATACTTGACTCTCATTAATGCTGCTTGTGATTTAAATAACATTTTTATGTTTTAAAATGTATATCAGTTATTAGTTTACACTTCCAAAATTCTATTTTGTCTTAATTTTCTATCAGAATTTTACAATTGATGTTTTATTGGCAACACTACATTTTTTCTGTTGCACTCCTGACAAGGTATAACATTTTTTTAAACATCAGCCATGACCACAACTTGATTAAACAGAAGTTATGACAGTCCACATTTAAAGCTCAATACTTTGAATATTATCAGGAACGTCTTTATTTTTAACATGAAGCATTGTTTTTTATTTCACAGATCTCTAAAAAATATTGAAATTTCAAAATGTCACAAAAAAGTGTTGCACTCCTGACAATTTTAGCATCATTTTTGGGTATAACTTTTTTGTTAATTGAGATATCAACGAGATATTTGGCAGGTATTTAGACACTATATAAAGACATATGCTGAGACATAGAAATCTATTTTCATTGCCTGTATTTTTAGTGTGGGTTGATAAATATGCGTTTGGCCATTTTTTTAAATTCACCCTAATAAGCTTGATGTCAAGCTCATATTCTTCAAATCCGGAGTCTGATTACAACTACTTCATCTTTGGATATTTTACTAGAGATTGATGGCACGTTAAGAAATAAACTTTATGAAAAAGTAAACTTTATGATAAACTTGATGACTTCAACTGTTTTTTCGTCAAATATGTAGCAATATACGATTTTCACCTGCATATGGGGTTTATGCAGAACATGTTCTTCGTACGAGCAATTTCTTCAACGAGACACGCTATTGACAAACAATTGATGATACAAGGGTATCTACAATCGTGTTTGACGTCAACATTTCGCAAATTCTTTGAAAACAATGACTTTTTTGCAGATACAATCAGTCGTTAGGTCATATGTTGACTGACGTTTTTCATACAAATTGTTTGGCCATTATTTACACACTGAATTGACTACGGATTTTTCCGTTTACCCCATCATGACAAGTAGCATACGGCGAGTCGACAGGGGATGCTTCCTCCTCCACGGCACCTCTAGTGTTTTAGATGTCCGTGTTTGCTCTGCTCACAATTTGTATAGCTTCAATGTACTAACTGTTCGTCATCTTCATATTTCATCACACTATGTGCAACCTTGTTGATCTAAGTATGCAAATTTATTGTTCTTATCCTAATAAATATTGCAAAAGGTTTAAAGTGCATATAGATAAGGAAATGACATTTAAACTAGTCTTTACATTTCTGTACAACTTGGAAATCAAAAATAGGTTACATGAGTTTAGAAAATACTAAATCCTTAAGAGACATTTACATGCATGCAGGTAATTAAGAATGTCACTGTTATAAGTTGTAGATCAATCGCACGGCGTTAATTCGTTTGTTTAGAAATACATCATGAATATTAATTGGCATGATATTGTGATTGATCGAGGACTTGGGAAGAAACAATGTGTCAAGGCGTTCCGTTACACAACAATTGTGAAAAAGATCTCCGGGAC